CCTGACCCGATGTCCCTTGCAGGTGCGCGTGGACGACGGCCAGTGGCACACCCTGGTGGCGCACAGGAGGAAGCGGCTGGGCGTCCTCAGGGTGGACAACGAGCGACCCGTCAAGGGCGTCTCGGAGAAGGGCGCCACGACACTCAACACCAACGGCAAACTGTGGATCGGTAAGTTTGGGTTTCGGGCTCGGGAAACAAGGAGACTGGCGTGAAAGAGGACTATCGCTGTGCTAATGGGATAGTTATTTCTTGTTTGTGTTAGTCGATATGATTGCGTGTGAGCATTCGTGCGCGGGAGTCTTATCCAAACGCAGTCTATAAGTTGAAACCAACACTGTAAAAGAAGCAATCCATACCCTACCCATATCAGAAAAAAAACAGAAACAGAACGGCCTCCCTCCCTCCCCGTCTCACCCCTACCTCTCCATCTCCACAGGTGGCTCACCCAGAATCCCGGACGGGCTGCCGCGGGCATACTACCAGGGCTTCCGCGGGTGCATCGACGCCGTGCAGGTGGAGAACCGCGACCTGAACCTGGTGACCCACGGCGACGCGCAGCTGGTCCGGTTCTGCGACGAGATGCGGTGAGGTTCGACGCCCGGCCTCCCCCCCTCCCTCTCTGCGGCGGACTCCTGGTGCTCTCCACGCGACTCCCAACAGCTGTGCATCTCTCCTGTGTTGGATAATGTGCTTGAGGAAAGAAAATGAGTGAATAAGTAGGGAGGAGAAAAGAAAACACGACTGGGTGCAGCGGCTTTGTCGAGTTGCGATGCTAAAAAAAAATAAAACAAAACATTAAAAAAAACACATATTTAAGAGAAAGAAGAAAGTCTATTTTGTATATGGGGAAAACGTTATTCTGTTGTTCGAGGAATGGTAGTGATGATAACAATCATTACGACAGCGGAAAAAACTATATGGTGGCGATTTTAAGCTGTAAGTGATGGTGAAAGGTGCGTGCCGATTTCATGTACATTTCAGTGCTTTCTAGTGACTCCTTACTCTGCCTACAGGACGCGAGGTTCTGAAACACTTTGTAGGTTGTGCTTGGTGAAGGAAAATTTATCATCACCGTTCTTTTCAAGGAAGTTTTAAAAGAACGAGACTTAATGTCGACCAACCATTAGACAAATTAAACTAGGAAAATACTCATTCGTAATCACTTTTTTTTTTAATCGAAAGAGAAATGTGATTCATATACTTATGAATAATCAGCTAAATATTAAAGATCTGTCTGTGTTCTTTACTCCGTGTTCCAAAACGTGATGGTAAATTACAAGGAAGATCTGGACTTCTCTCTCGCTACACAAACGGGGAACAAAATGAACGACACAAGTGAAGTAACTTGTGTTTTTGCTGTAAATATGATATTTGTTGGAAATAGTCATAACAAGTGAGTGAATGGAAGAGTGTGTAAGTAGACTTTTTTCTGACGCTGCCTAAAAAAAAAGAAAAAAAATACATGGATAAAAGTTATATGAAATGAAATCCTGGGACCTGGTAAAATGACGACTGGAAGTTAAACAAGTTGTTAGGAGTTCTTATGACGTGTTTTCATTGATGTTGACAACTCGTACCTCAGCAGTATTTAAGCAAGATATTGAGAGAACGAAAAAAACAGTGAAAAAATATAGTAATAAAAAAATAACATCCAATGTTACATTTCAGAACTTTATTTGTATTCGAATTTTTACTGTTTTTGAGCACAGTAACCCTGTATTCCTAAAGTCGTTTTTTACATTAAATGGTTCCAATTTTGCAACTTTTAATTGTATCACCAATTGCTGTTAATCTTGCATTAAAATACATTAAAATAATACATTTCAGGTCTACCAATGCACTTGTATATTTTCTCAGTATCATAGTTGTAAATTTCTAATCCAACAGTCTATGTGAAACCCTGAGATGTACAGTAGTCACAAATAGTAAAAATAAATAAGTAAATAATTTATAGGCAGAGGAACAGCGACAGCGATGATATTTGAGAGAATCCATCCATATTTCTTGTTCAAGTTAGCTGACTAAAAGAAATAATTGTACAGCAGATACATTCGTGGATATTGTGGGCGTTTTATCGTTTTCTTAACCCTCCTGCCCCTCTTCTCTGCTTTTCAAACGTATTCTTCGTTCTTGGTTTTTATTATCTACTTCCCTCTTCGCAATAAATGTATCATTTGTTTACACAAAGGCCAAACCACGGTGGAGGGAAGATAAAGGACTTCAGAAATCAAAAAAAGAAAATAAAAGCAGCAGTTACTCTTCTGGCATAGTTACGAGTTACTTAACTTCCCCAATAGCATAGCCTTGCCCCCCCCCCCCCACCCCCGAGCTACTGATTTCGGTCGCGTCGAGAGAAGAAAGGGAGCGAGGCTTAGTCCATTTGGCCCGCCCCTGGAAGTTTCTCATTCCAGTTCTTACTTTTTATTTGTTTATGAGTTTTTTATTATCATTATCAACTGCCTTTTAGTGTCTTAGTTGCAAAGGGAATGTGCTTTCAT